CCAACATGTACTTTTCACTTTTCTTGATTTATTGCATTGGCTGGAATGTTTCAGAATAAGCTTGAATAATAGCAGTGATAATAAGCATTGTTGCCTAGCTCCTGACTTTGGCTCTCCTTAATTATGATACTTATCATAGGTTTTGACTTAATTTTCAAGTTATTACAAGTTTTCTAGGAGTCTTTCTTCTCTCCTTTTATCAACAAAAGGAATTATAGGAACTGCTTTACCAGAAACTTTCAAAATAATCCTATGGTTTTCTCTTTTCTTATGTTAATATAGTGAATTGCATGGATAGATTTCTAAATTTAAACCATCTTTAGATTCTACGAATAAGCCTGTTTGTTTATTGTGCATTCTTCTTATAATTCATTTCTGGGTTTGAATTACTAATATTTTATTCATGAGTTTTTCAGAAAGTGTGTGTGGGTAAACTGAAGATTAATTTTGCATATAGACTTGAATAATAATTTAGTTTGGTATAGATTCTAAGTTCAAAATCACTTTGAAGACACTGGTCCATTATATTCTGATATCCAGTATTGTAGATGAGGAATTAGAGGCTAATGTGATCCTCGCAAGCCAGAAATACTAAAAAGAAACTGGAGATTTGATGTGAATCACAGCAAAAATGGATTACAGTGGAATCTTTCAGATTCTACATGAACTATTTTGTTGTGCCTTACCTTTATGTTTTTACACTCTATAGTAATCACTGTCCTACATCCATGCTAGGTAGGATGAAGTGAGAAAATTAACATTTTATCTTTTCATTTCATCAACATAATCTAATGAAAGAGCACTAAGCTCAGAAAGAAGTTATAAATAAGAAATTCTTACTACTTACTAGGAAACAGATGAAAGATTATACCTCATTATCAGTTCAGAAGTGAGACCAGAATCCACATCTTCTAATTATGAGATGGAGTAGATTCCTGTTAAGAAAAAATCTGCTGGAGCAAGGAAACATTGGAGTGCTTGCTCAAATGATCAAGGGTCTCTGGCAACTGTTAAATCTCTAGGGGCAAAGCCAATCTGAAATGGATACATATTTTGGCATTTGCTTGTTCTGACTATTACTCTGTTAGACTTGGAACTTTCAACTATTAAAAATATTAACCCCCTTCTTAATAATGACCTACATATGTTTAAATATTATTTGTGTATATACAACTCTGGGACCTCTATTACAATAGTTCCTAAGGATATTTAAAGTACTAATTTACACTAGAAATTCAATTTTTCCATATTTATTTTATCAATCTGGGTATGAGTTTGAGATTGAGAGTATGCCCAAAGAGAACTGTTATATATGAATAATTGGATCCTTGATTCATCAAATAAAGCATGAATCTGACAGTCATATTACAAGTTGACCGGCAGGTCTTCATGAAAAAGAAATGTGATGAGAAAGAAATATTGTCTGTTTGATTATATTGGTTATTTCAAAACCATATCCCTTATTTGCCAACTTATTTCAGTGTTCTCATATTAAAAAGTCTTGCATGTCCACTTGAGAGCCTTGTGCAGAGAAAACAATTCCAAATAAAATAGAAAATGTTCATCATCAGTTTCTTAAGAAAGTTAGAGTGATTACTTTAAATGATAGAAATATATAATTATAGAGGAAAAGATCTTACTTTGAAACTTTAGTCTAATTAATAGCAGAATGTATAGCATTAGATAAAAATATTAAAGACATAAAAAGGGCATATAGGTTTTATTATGTATGCAATATATTTATTAAATAGTCTAGACCTATACTCCAGTTGACCCATATTTATACTGAATGGGGTAATTTAGGAATAAGGTGAACTGTCATTTTTGGTTTTGTAAAACCAGTTTCCATTGGAGGAAGATATTTTTAGAATTCATTTAAGTATATTATAGTTCTATGATTGGGCCATCAAACGCAATTTGGCACAGCATGATGTTTCAACAGTTGCTTGAAGTTAATGGGGACTATAGAACCGGTTGTGATCAGCTAAGGTTATTTTTAGACCTAATTTGAGATAACTTAGAGAAGCGCTGTTCTGTATTCCACATGGTAATTGCAGCAACATTTGTCATCTAAGACATCACGTGCCATGATGTGGGATTCATTGTAAACCGTTTTCACCATGAAACCACTGAAAACAGAACCTCGAAGCCAAAGGACACCATGCTACTTTAATTAGAAAGATCCCACCTGCATCATTTAGAAATTCTCTGTTGCTTGGTATAATTTGTTTGCTTATATATTTGTTCAGGGAAACATCCTGGCATCCATGAAGCTTGGATGTAATTAACCAAGCTTCCACCTCACATATTGGGTTCTGTCCTCGATGAGTGGGTTTCTGGGACATTCCTGGGAGAACTCTGTATTCACTTAACTTGATGACAAAACAGCAACATGCTAAATAATGTGATTAAAGTTGTTAAAAGCTAAAATAAACACTTATAATTATCTCAAGAAAAACGGTGTCAGGCAAGTGCGGTCTCTATAAAGTGGGACTCTGCGTGCGTCTTTCAGGTCCGGCTGCACAATAGATCATAGTTAAAGGTCTGTTAACAGACCTCTGACGGCTGAGCTGGGTAGCTTGTGGTTTCCTTCGAAACCTATTGGCATAATGTGAATTTATGTGTGAGGTGTAAATTGGAAGTTGCCTTCTATTGGTGCCCTTGGCAGAACAGAAATCATACTGTAGGGCTAGCAGCAGGAAGTACATTGCTTTGAAATTACCCAGCAGGGTTTCTACTTGCTGCTCTTGTTGCTTCTGAGACAGGGTCCTTATATTGTCTGGGCATGATTAAAATCAAAGTGTAGGCTTCTTTGCTGGGTGCCAGTAAACTTAGGTGAAAAACAGAAACAATCTGGAGTTTTAATTATTTTAAAATGCAATGTAGGCAAGAAACAAAGATGAAAGCATTTTTAACTAATCTATCCCAATTATTTCACATAAACGGATTTGCTCAAAAAAAAAAGCCTCAGAGAGAGAGAGAGAGAGAGAGAGAGAGAGAGAGAGAGAGAGAGAATAGAGCGAGTCTTTATAAGAGATTTTGTAACTTATCTCACAGCCATAAAATGTATCTATGTCACGTATGTCATTCTCATGAAACTCATAGAGAAAAGTGTCCCAACATTGTACTTTTGGGTGAGTAGAGGAAACCAGATGTGGCATTACCTTAATCCACGTACAAGATGCTATGAAATAAGCTTCAAAGCATGGAAAAAAATTTATTGGTTAATTACTTACTAACTTAAAATAGTCCACCTGTGAGGGAATATCTCTGTGTTATATATAATTAAGACTGGTCTAACTTCATAGTAGGCTAGACAGATAACTCCCATTATGCCTGTAGTTCCCAGAGCTGGTTGGTTCTGGATTTCTTTATTTCAGATTCTTTTTCCATGAGGAATATAAAAGCCAAGCTATAGGTTCAGAGTTTCTCTTTAATAATCCATTGGGAGAAAATGTAACTCAACTTTGAGTAAAATATAGAAAATGAAAACTTGCTATCACATTGTACCAACCAGCTCTCAAATAAACAGTAGTGGAAATCAAGAGTTACTTACTGTGTGGGTTCTTTGGAAAATGTGCCACTAGACTATATGTAAATCTTGGGAGTTCATGAATTAAGTTAACAAATATTTATTGAATACCTGCTATGTGGTAGGCATCATGATATGGACTGGGGATATAAAGGTGAACCAGTCTTTCAAGGGAAGCTCTCTAGAGAATTAAATGATTATTTACATCGGTGACTCTGGAAGCTGCGTGCCAAGCTAAGGAAGTACAGTGCGCCACAGAACCTGTAACCCACGGCTGCTACTCCTCCACAAAGAGAGAGGTGGATATTATTACACTTCTACCACAATTGTCACATATTTTAAAAGATACAGAAGAAGAAAAATACAGCAATTCTATTGCAAAGTTAGAAATGGCTTTGGAAAATTGGAAATGCAGGTCCAATCCCTTCCTTTAAAAATTTCCTTCCTATCCAATCTACTGTGACACTTCAAATCATTGAGCCATAGCAAAGAGCCGGTGTGTAGAACATGCACAAATCCTTGTGCCCAGGCTCCAAAGGCCTGTGTCTTATCTGCTGATACTGCCTGGGGTCAAGGCTCTTGAGCTATCAGACCTGCTCAGGCAAGAGAGAAATCCAGGTTTCAGCTTTTTCCACTTGACTTTCAGTATTAACAGGAGAGAAATCATAATAACATACTGTTATGTTAAAGAGCATGCCTGAGTATCTTTTGCACGTATCTAAATATTAAACCTGGCAGCTATAACTTGGTTTTGTTTGACAGGGGTAGGCACAGAAGAGTTAAGCTGCCTCTGGCCTTAGGAAGTGAACATGGCATTTGGCTGTTTTAAAAAATCTGCTTGAAAAAATTAGTTCCCACTGGTGGAAATACCTTTCTTTTCAGTACGAGAAATTGTTTGAAGCTTTTGTCTCTCTCAAATGCTCATCTTGATCAGATTTTAATACTGCTCTCAAACCAACCTTTAATTTAACAAGCGTAGTAATTTTGTTCAGGAAACATTTCCATGACATGTGTTGACTCAAACGTACAGATTCAGTATTCCATCCCAGCAGCACCACCTATTGTTGTCTTTAGCTCTTGAACTAAACTTCACAAGTATCTAATTTGCTTATTTCTCTGGCTATCTCTGTGAGGTATCCAACACACCAAACATTTTAAAGCTTATAAGGGTTAAGCGTTAAGACTGTGATGACGTTTCTAACATTCTAAATCTGTTCTGTAAATAAAATGCATTTTTTTGGGAGTACTTTAGACTTCCATTTTAATTGGTGAAAAGAAACTGAATTGAGAGGCTCTATGCTATAAAAATACTTTTGGATATCAAAATAATGTTTGGTAGAGAAGATCCAAGTTATAACTGTATGCTTTGAAAGTTATTACTGTCATTTATTGTGTATCAAATATGAGTGGCATTTCTTCCAATAGGGTTTAAGAACACGTGTAAAAAAATTATTATTTGCATTGACAGGTAGAAACTGAAACTCAGGACTTATCAAATGGTGGCCACTATGGACTTTTTCGGCATTATTCCCAGAAGAGAGAAAGGTAGGACTGAAAATATTACAGTCTTTATTTGATATTTGCATTACATATGTGTATATGAATGTGAATAATAAACTATGTTTTCTGTAAGCCATGTTTATTTAAACCATGTAAACCATAAAAAGGATTTTAGGAGGAAAATAATAAACAACATATGGAGTATTTTCCTACATATTATACCATTTAGTCTTCCCTACAACTGTGTGGGGTAGGTAAGGTGGCTTTGAGTCTTTGGCTCTCTGATTTTCCCATCATCTACATTCTTTTTCATATTTTATCCATTCCTATACATTCAACCATCTCTACACTGATTATTTCAAAATTTGTACTTACGTCCCTTATATCTCTCCTGACCTCTAGAAAAAAATGGATATATTTGGAAGTTTCATGAGTATCTAAAACTCAATACAAACTTATCATCTTTTCTGCTAACGCTATTCATCTTCTTGTATTTCTTATCATAGGTAATGCCTTACCATCCAACTAGCCAGAAACCTGGAAGTTATCTTAGACTCCTCTTTTTTGTTCATCCTCTTCGTTTAATTACGCATGACAATTACATTTCCTCAGTATCTCTGAATTCCACCTTATTTAGTTCAGGCCCCTGTCGTTTCTCAGCTGGCTCATTACAATAGTTACTGATTCCAATTTGACTTTCTCTGCTACCAGAGAGGTTGTTCTAAAATTCAAAACTGTTAATAAAAAGCTACCTGAATAGTTTCCAATTGCTTTTAGGATGAAGTCCAAATTCTTTACACATACAACCTGATGCCATTTAAAAAGTATGACCCATGACTAATTTTCCAGTTTTTTTTCCTACCATTCATTGCCTGATCAGACTTTTCTGCTACACAAGATGATTAGTAGTCAAAATGGACCAGCCCTAATGATGGTTTGCTATTTGGAAATCCATTAGAATAGAATTAATTATATTATTAGAACTAAGGATCAAAATCATATGATCATCTACACAGATACTTAAATGACATTTGAAAAATTCAACACCCATTCATATTAAAAATAAAAAATTGATAGATATTCTAATATGATAATATTTTTAATCCTCAGATCAAAACGACCATCTTAACTAATGAAGAACATGATTAGAGGCGTTCTTACTATAGTCAAGACCAAGAAAGGACACTAAATACACTACTACTATTTAACTTTAAATTCAAAGTATCAGCCGGTATCATCAGATAAGAGAAACTGGAGGCTTAAGAATAAGAAACCAACAGGCTAAACTGTCTCTACTGTTGATTCGGAATGATATCCAGAATTTATTTTTAATTGAAACAAAAATAAGGCGCAGAACTGCATGTAGAGTAACCTGTCCTTTAAGAAAGAGTGAAGGAGTGATAAGACTACATAGCATTTTCTTATATTTTCAAAAGATGTCACGAAAAAGGAATCAAAAGCCAATAAAAGTGGTTACCTACAGAGTGAAGGAAGAGAATAGGGTGGAGGCGACTTTGGAGGTATATAAATGTTTTACGGAATTGAAAAATCAACAGGAAATCAAAAAGGAAAAAGGGCCTGAAGTCTTGAGAAGGGGTGCTGTAGAGTGGAAGCTGTTCTGATGAATGGGGGCACTGCTTGGCCAGGCTGCATCCGAGGGTGCAGTGAGGCTGGTTCTAGGAGGTCTGAAGACTGGAATCAGGTGCCAGAGTGTAGGGTCATTACTGAGGCAGCAAAGGAGACATGAGAAGACAAGCCTCTTCTCAGTCTGCCTTCCCCTCCCTTCCCCTTGCCTTAGTAATTTATATGTTTGGGAAAAATGGGACCAAGAGTTTAAGTACGACTGGGAGAATTTACAAGGAACTTTAGGACGCACCTGATACTGTAGTACAAATTTGTTCGTATACTCATAAGGGCTGACACATTAGGCAAAAACTGATTTCAGATAACATAATGCAGGTGAAATGGTTCAGAATTTTAAAGTACCATGCAAATATACAAGATTAATGGTTTTATTTTTAGTGCTATAATTTCACTAAACTGTAATGGCGGCATTTGATAAAAAAAAGTTTATGAAGTCCAAGGTAATCTTAAGATAAATTATAAAAAGATGTTTAGCATTTTTAGAAACATAATTATAATTATTTAGAAAAATAATCATTTGTTATTATTTTTTTCTAATTGATCCACTTCTATTTTAATTTGGAAGTTAGGTGAGTTGCAAGTTTTCAAACAAGCACACATTTGTATTTGCTTTTCTGTAATAATGTACCCAGAGTTTTGTGGGTCCTTTCAAAAATATGAATCACATTTTGTGTAGTGATGTGTCTATATATTATACATTGACTACATAAAGGCACTGAGTTACTGTACTACATAATTACATGACTGATCATATTAATGTGTATCTCTGTAGTGCAATAATTTTTGCATTTATTCATTAATCAAGGATAACCATGACTAATGCAATTGTGGTTTCATTTTAAACTCATTATTCATGGTCATCAATTTAGAGATAAGAATGGAATTATGTTGATAAGTTTATAAACTGATGGCTGGAGGCCAATCAGATTGCTTCATGCTCTTAAATTATTTTATGATGATATTACTGATGGTGAACATGTTGATTTGAAGCAAAGGTTCTGGGATACAAGTCATGCTTAAAGAGCTGTAAGTCATTTGTCATTTTAGGTCTTTCATATTGATACAGAAAAAGTACGTAACAACTATTTCATGAATTTAATTAATACCATTATAGATATTGCAAATATTTGTAAACAGAGGGGAGTCATCTGTAATAAGAAGAAAAAAGCTCTGATGCTTTAAGCAAAAAAAAATATATAGCATAGCTAAATTTAGCAAAGAAGTAAGTGATAATTGGTAAGCCAGAATATTAGAAAAAGGTTTTTGGAAACATTTATTTGTTTGGAGAACCAAACAAATGGAAACATTTATTTACTTGGGGAACCAAAATAGCTGTAACTGGGCCAGATGACATATTCATGGGTTTCCAAGAAAAACATAAACTTATCCTGAATAAAAAGTTGCAAGTGGTCAAAAGAATTAAAAAAGAAAAGTGGTGAAATCATCCAAGAACAAGGTAGTGCTTGCTAGAGGAAAACAGTCTCCAACTCAGATATGAGCAATATGCAAAGAAATGGATCATTTTTAATTGAAAACTAGGATCAATTGAAAGTTGAAATAATTCTAATTGAAAACTCATGTGTGCATCATTGTTTTCCTACCTATAGAATGTAGTCACAATCCACAGTTTTCTCAACTTAGTAAATATTTACTGAGCATCTATTTAATGTGCAATATTCTGCTGGGCACCCTAGCAAAATAAAATATGTGTAATCTGACAATGTGGAGGAGAAATATGCATATATTTTGAAAGCAAATCATAAAGTATCAAGTGCTGTAAGAACAATAGAAACATAATGCTTTGGAAGGTTGACAGAGGGAAAGAGCATATCCAGTTAGAAATATCAGGAAAAGCTTAACAGGGAAGAGAACACATGAGATGAACCATGAAAAATAAAAAGAAGTTTCATAGGCTGGGTAATAGGGAGAAATAAAAATAACACAAGCGATATTTTATGTTATGCACTATCTTAAGCATTTTATATGCATTATGTCATTTCATCTTCAAAACAACCAAGAAAGAGTACTTTTACTATCATCATTCCACAAACGAGGAAACTGAAGCTTAGAGGTTAATTTGCCCTTGGTCTCAGTAAGTGGTGACTCCAGAATTTAGATTCAGATCTGTCTAGCTCTTAGTCACTGTATTATACTGCCTTGTAAGGAGGAGTTATTTGTGAAGGTGAAAACTGAGAAAACCTACAACCTCACAACAGTTGTATTTTAGTAAATAGATATTTGAAAAGTTAACATTGACTGGTAGGAATATGATAAAAATGTATATTATCATGTTGTCTAAAATGTAAATACAAAATTGCTCTGTTTATAACAATGTCAGCGTATACGAGACTCAGTGAAAGCTTGTTGAATGAATGAATGAATGAATGATGTGGAAAATACATATGCATATGGGCAGAGATCAAGAGATCAATATGGAAAAATGATTAGTTATAACAGGATTATGGCCTTCTCCTCTTTCAAAGTTGTCTTTAATTTGTATTTAATTTGTAATATTGTCAGCTCTCCCAGGTTTGAGTAGAAGCCAGGTGTTTATTTCCTTTTCATTAACAAAAGGCAAATGACTTCAGTTCTAAAGGATAAATGCATCAATCTGTGATATTAATAATCAATAGAGAATTCTTTTTTGGAATATTTGTTAACATACACATTCTTTCTAATTTTAATTTTTTTCACCTTTGAATTTTTTCCCAGTAACGAGGGATATAAATCTAGATAAAATGATGCATATATATCATAACTTAGGCATGCACGATTGAGACCAGATGAGGCAACAACAGTTTGTATGCTGACCTCTTTCTTTAAGTTCCCCCAAATGAAGTCTTATTAATCATTTGCTAATCCCATGCAATGGTACATTCTTCAAAAAATGCCTAATGATAGAAGCAGGAGAAATGATAAATGAAAATGGTATTCAATAACAGGTTGCTGATATAGTAAGATTTAAAAAAAGCATATTGTGAGATTTTGCCTTTAACTAGACTAAAATAAAGTTTGTTGACTCAGAAGGAGCAATGAAATACCATACAAATATTGCTTTATACTTATTTGATTAGAAAGCAGTATTCATATAAATATATGTATGTATGCACATATATTCACCAATGAACTTATTTAACTCTTACGTCTGAAGTGTCATTTTTGGTTTTTTTTTCACTAAAAAAAGAGGCTCCTGGTGGCAACATAAACTACATTTGAGTGTGCTGGGTTGATCTATTTACCATGAAGCTGTCAGTTTTGAATGGGGACCCTGAGCAAGAGAAGGCTGTGAGCTGGTCCAAGTCTGCTACTTTTGGGCATTATGACTTGGCAGATCCAATGACATTCAAAATGTCTTTGGCAAATAGGGATGTTGTATGCAGCCCCTGGCCAATGGAAGACGTGTAGGGTTTTGGAAACAAATTCTTTCCCTCTGTGAGGAACAGCTCCTTCTCCCGACTTGCTACTGTCTCTGGTAGACACTGAATACTGGACTAAGATGCACCCAGTGAACATTTGACCTCAGTGTCCTTTTGACCCAAAACATCATAAAGCTGGATTTGCTTAGAAGCACTCCATCAAGTGACCGCGGTATACAAGCGACAGGGCTCAAGAAGTTACTGAAGGCATGTGTATATTGTGCCACCGATTATATTGGCATCTACCTCTGCTGCTCTAATCTCTTACCCACAATCCACATGTGGTCTCATGTGGAGTTCCCTTTGCTCAGTTGACTGAGAAGGTAAAAACTCAAGTGTGGTTTATAGGTGGTTTGTATAACATGCTGGCATTAGCTAGCATTGGACTGCTGCTTCACAGTCCCCCTCAAAGGGGCAGGAAACGCTTTCCAGTAGGAAAAATTATGAACAGTGCATCTGATTATTTACTTTGCTAGGAAAGCAAAAGGGCCAGAGATACGGATCTAGAGGAATTAATGACTAGTGGCTAACAGCTTGGCCAGAAGTTGAGGAGGAACGTTTGAAGGACTTGATGAAATGTCGATTTGGGAAAAGACTGGGTAGGGTCCTTAGAAAAGTGAAGCCTGTGAGGATCCTCCATTACAGAAGAGAGCCTCAATGATCAATGAACAGGATGACTCACTATCAGGCAGCCTCTCCTCACCAACTCCAGAGCTGGCTCACTGGGCTCATGAGCAAAATGGCAGCAATGGAAGTTCCATGATTCTGTTAACGTGGGCTTCCCCTCACCAAGGGTGATCTGATTACTGCCGATTTAGGTATTCAACCTGGTCATCTAACTAAGATCAAATTAAGATTATCCTAAGAGAGAGACAGCTATTGGTAGAACTTTGGGGGAGACAGTGAGGTTACACTGTGTTCTTAGTATAGTACCTTTCCTCAGGGGGACTAGCCAGTTACCCATGGGGAAGTGGTTAACTTAAGATCCCTTCCACCGTGGAAAGGGCAGTGCTTTATTATTACTAGAATTGACTCTTACTCTGTATGTAGATTTGCCTTCCTTGCCCACTGTTCTCCTGTAGCGTTATTATCCACAGACTTTCTATCTTAATTGCTGTCAAGTATCCAGTACAACATACTTTATGATTAAGGAACTCATTTTTTTGGCAAAGGAAGTGTGGCAATGGCCATGTGCCTATGCTATTCACTGGTTTTACCTTGAATTGTTTTACCTTGAATTCCCTCATACTTGGCCTATTGAATTCCCACCTTCCCCCTTCTGCCCGCCCCGNCCCCGCCCCAGAGAAATGGAGTGGAGGTTTCCAGTGTCCTTACGCTGTTAGATATGGAGTTTTGTTATCCAAAGGAGTAAAGCTGTAGGTATAAAATCATTAATTTGATCTTTATTATTTGGTAGTATGGATGGTAAGTAAGTAGCTATTTCCATTTTCATTTGC